GTTCCAGGAGGCGGGTTATGGAGGTGGTACTTGCCCCAAAACTCATTTACTGTTAAATAAATAAACAGGGTGCTAACAGGGAATGATAAGGGCTAAGAAAGAAATACAACAGGGTAGTAAGATAGGGTGACTGGGGAAAAGAACAAACTAAGGTAGAAGGAGCCTCCGCCCCAGTCTGGGCCTCAGTCTCTCCTTCGGTAAAAAAAGAGGGCGCTCTAAGGCTGACGCACTCTGACGCCTAACCCAGAGGTGGGAGCTGGGCCCGGGAGAACGAGTCAGAGACCCCACCACCCCCCGACCCCCGCCTCCTCTGCCTACTGGAGCCCGCCCCTTGGGAGGGAGGGCTGTGCTGAGTTTCCCAACAATCAAAAGGTTGATGCATGCCAGGATTCTGCAAAGGAGTTCAAGGATTCTGCTCCAGTTCAAGCAGCCGAAGTTGGGAGTTCAAGCAGCCGAAATTGGGGTCAAGTTTCTCAGTGGGAACTCGGATTCTCAGGGTGGACTCCAGGAGAGCGAATTACATCGTGCCTTCTGCGCCTGGGACACACCGTTTGCAAAGAGATTACTTCTACCCTTTCTGGTTTACCACTAACAACCACATCGGGAGCTGGTAGTCCCTGTTACTGCTCTCGTTGTATAGATGAACACTGTGGCGCAGCGAGGGAAAACGTTTATCCCGGCCGAGGCCAAGCCCCTATTTTGTCCCTGGAACGCCAACTCTCACTTGTCTAAGTTATGTTTGAAAAAGATTAAATATCCGTTAATGCCTATTATGTGTCGGGCCCTGGCCTTGTGTGATACTCATCACAGCAATCTGAAAGATAGCCTTTTTTCCTATTTTATGTATGAGGGCACTGGGGCTCAGGAAGTTAAAGGGTCTAAGAGATGGAGTAGGTGTCCCACCCCAAGTCCGTCCACCCCAGCGCCACAGTTGTTACCATCTCAGCAGGAAAGTAAAATAAACCAGGCTGAAGGGCCAAGAGAGTGTCAGGCACATTCAGCAGGGCAGAGGTCACCTCCTGATCCTCCTCCCTGAGTCCCCCTCTAGGTTCTGAGGGCCCATGTCACAGAGGACCCCTTCTGTACCCATGATAAACACAGAGTGAGGCAAGGCTTCTTCTAATTTAAGTAGGAAGGAAACTGGCCACCTTTGAATGGACTCTGGAGATGCAGATCACCACCTTGACCCTGACCTCACTCCCTTGTCTCTACCTGATGGTCTCTGTTTTCCCCTACAGTCCGCAGAATCTAGAAAGGATTGGGCTGGAAAGGATCCTTTCAGTTTACAAAACCAAAGCCTCATTCATTCATTCATTCATTCATCCATTCATTTGACAGATACTTATCGTCTGCCACTCTGGGCCAGATCCTGAGCTGGGCAGTGGGTATAAAACAGTGAATAAAACTGGTAAATATTAGGCACAGAGAAAGGAAGCTCCTGGCCAGAGATCACACAGCCCAGACCCAGGAGCCCAGGATTCCCACATGCATGTTCTGCCCATCAAGGCTTCACCTATGTGGGCCTTTGTATGCATGGTTCATTCAGCGGTCACATCCTAATTCCAGACAGCCACGTGCCTAGAAGCCTTTCCCTAGTCCAGAGATGACTCTCAAAATCCCACCTTGAAAGGCCCAGTGCACCTTTCCATACAAACAGTCCTGAACGTTGGCCTTCCTTTCTCTTGGCCCAGTTTAAAGAAACTCCCAGCTGGGCGGGGACAGTGAATGTTGCAAATTGGCAGTATTTTGCAAAGGAAAATCTGCTCCGGAGTGTTTTTCAGTTACTCTTCAAAAATTATGTTTGTGGTTTTGCAGCCATGGAGAGAGGCTTCCAGGGGTGATGTGACTTGCCCAAGGTCACACAGTTAGGAAATGGCACACCAGGATGCAAACCAGGCCTATTCGAACCCCAAACCGGCTGGTACCTACCCACCCTCCACTCTTGAGAGGACTATGCCTCCGCCCCGGAGGAGGGGCAGAGGCGACTGCACAATTCCGGAGAAACCACAGCTCCCGTTGCTTCCTGAGAGAGCCCAAGGAGAGAGGCAGCGGCGCCGACCCGGCGCACTCAGTGGGTGGGAGAGGGTGGGGCGCGTCGTGGCCCGGGCCGCAGCTCCCGCCCGCAGGTGCAAACTGGTCGAAATACCGGTACGCTTGGACAGTCCCGGCGCCTGAAGCGGACCAGGCGCAGAGGTGAGCGTGCGACTCACAACCCAGCCAGTCCAGTAATAGCGCAGATCTTATTTTCGGGCTGCTCATTCCGCCCTCTCCAAAAAAAAAAAAAAAAAAAAAAAAGTCTTCCAAACTTTTGAGGTTATATATATATATATATATATATATATATAATCTCAGCAGGGAACTTTTCAGAAAGGAGATGGAGGCGGCGGATATCGGGTTCTTTCCCGGACCAGAAAAGCTGAAGGCTCTTACCTGCAGGAAATCTCGCAGCCCGCGAAGGCGCGTCTGTCTGGAGCGCTTCACTTCGGCGCGGGACGCTCACGGCCGCCTCCTCTGCAGCCCGGCTGGGCTCCGGCCCTGTGTTTTATACCACTATAGGCAATTAATATTGCATCAGCCGTATTTTAAATTTTCAAAACCCACAATATAATGTAATGGCATAAGGGCATTTATTATTAAAGGACACCCGATGGAGAAGGAGGTGGAGGCATCGCTGGGGTTGTTGCGCTCGGTGGGGGCGAGGGATTGAGGCCCAGGGGCTGGGGGCGATCCCTAGGTTTGTTTTTGCCGCAGAGGGAGTGCACCGCGCGGAGGGGAGACCCGCTCTGCTCCGAATTTCGGCCGGGAGTTGATGACCCAGACCTCTTTGAAGACACAGAGGGGAAGTGTGCAGACGACTCCCTGACTTGGAACATTAATTTTTAAATCATGAAGGTGTTCCTGTGGCTCACAAATAAAAAGGTTTCTTCCCCCTTTTAGAGGGAGTGAAAGAAAAGGGAATGGCCATCTTTTGAGCACCTACTGTGCGCAGGGCACTAGGCTAGGATCTTGACAGACGTACCATTTAGCACCCCCTTCCTCATAGAGAAGATGAGATAGACCATGAATTGAGTAAGCTCTTGGGTGACAATTTTAAATGAATTTCTGAAATGACCCCGAAGGGGTCCCAACGGACTCTGTCCCAGGAAAGAGCACTTTCCTCCCTCTTTGCTTCTATCCACCCACTTCCTGCCAGGCCACTTGAATCTTTTAAAATAATGTTTCATCTTGAGCACCAAGCGCTACCAAATGCCTCAAATAAACAATCTTATTTAATCTTGACAATAACTTTGTGAGGTAAATATTAACATCTTAATCCTGCAGGCGAGCAGAGCAATCCGAGCCTTAGAGAAGGTAAGAAACTGGCTTCAGGATCATTCAGGCCATGAGTGCAAGTACTAGGCGCTCCTACTCTCATCAGTCAGGCTTCAAAGTTTGCAGTGGATCTGAGTCTAGTTGACCGAACAGAGGCTGATAGATTCACATGCAGGGAAGTGTGGAGGGAAGTGCCTTGTAACCCCGAGGTCCAGAGAAGAACGGCACGCTCTCCCTAGAGGAGATCTGCATGAGAAGGTGCAGCTGCGTGGAAGAGGGGAGAGATGGCCAGACACTGGCCTGCCAGAAGCAAGAACCCAGCCCTTATGGGTCCTCACTTTTAAATCCTTTCCAAGACTAGTACTCCTTAGCCTCTGAGAAAGAAAAGCACTGTGATTCGGGTTGAAAAATAAAGCATTTATTTTAGGAGTTAATTCAAGGGGTAAATAGAGAAGAAAACTTAATATTTTATTTGTATCTATTTGGAGAACAAAACCAAGGTCACACAGCAACACGCGAATTACATGAAGCAACGAAAGATAAAACGTGGTGGGGCCAGAGGAGGGGCGGTGAGAAGGGTCCAGGCCAGCAGTCTGGCTCCTCTTTCCGCTCCAAATCACAAGTGAACCTCCACCAGGAGACACCCATGTAAGGGGGATGGAAAGAAGCAGAGTTAAATAAATAATAGCCAATAACAATGCTAACAACAACAACAATAATAAAATCGCAATGAGGTTAGATGTGTTAGAAGGACTTGCATATGATTCAGAGAAGTTACAATTACTTTCGAAAAGCCGCCTCTATGCTGCGCTGGAAATCTGGCTGCAGGAGCGAGCTGGGGGCAGAGAGTCCTCAGTCCGACCGGAACACTACCAATCCCACCCCTCCAGCAGGCAGTAATCACCCCCTCAAACACCATCAGATCTTGGAGGATGCGCTAGAGCAGTTGCCGGCAGTTGCTTGCAACCAGCTTTGAGATCCCGGCATTTTCAGTCGCCAAAATTGAGCCCATCTTTTAGGGAGCCCGACTTACCGCAGAGAACAGCTGGGACCTCGCAACTTCACGCACACTTTCCCTGAACCTAGTCCGTGCTACCTTAGAGAACTTACAGCAAACCAAAGGATGAGATGGATAGAATTTAGGAGAGGAAAGGAGTATAAGGCTATCCTTTGGAAACATACATGTATTTTATATACTCTAAATAAATCTCCAGTACATGTTTGTGCCCCAGTTAGACTTTGTATTAGTGTTTATCACTGCCTTCCCATCCCTTCACCTTTGTCTAATCACGCTTAGCAAAGTGGCGCCTTCACCCCGGAGTAGTGTGGTCGGCGCCAGTTCACTGTCCCCTGCATTGGGGCTCCTGCCCTGTGGTTTCGCAGTCCAGCGCGCGAGGGAGATTTTTCAGCACCACGGACAGCGCCTGCCACTCCGGGCCTGCCCTTCAGGAATTTTTGTCTTAGCGCCATAACTTTTCAGGTGGCAATGGAAAGGAAAGAAGAGAAAGAGAAGTCCGGGAGGCAACCAGGTAGGATAAAGGGGAAAGTCTGTGGCATCGGGGGAGACAGGCTGACCTGCCAGGAAACGTCTTGGAGTTCCCCATAACCGTTCCCCCCCCACACACTCTGGGGGGTGGCATACACTCTGCTCTCCCGGCCCCGGCCCCGGACGCCGCGCCCCGCCGCAGTCAGTGGACCGCCGAGTACTTCATTCGTTTCTGTTTCTGTCTCTGGTTGCAAAACCAGACCCTCACCACGTTCTTTTTAAGGTCCAGTTTCTCAGCAATGGCCGCGATCTTCTCGGATGAGGGCCGCGGCTGGATAGCGAAGTAGGCCTCGAGCGAGCGCTTCTCCGGCGCTGCGATGGACGTGCGTTTGCGCTTCCGCTCACTGCCGTTGAAGAGCTCTGGCTTGCTGTTTTTTTCTCGATAGGCGGCCTCGGCTTCCTCCAGCCAGGCCTGGAGCACCGGCTTGAGCGCGATCATGTTGTTGTGGGAGAGAGTGAGAGACTCGAACCTGCAAATGGTGCTCTGGCTGAGCGAGCCTACGCCGGGGATCTTGAGGTTGGCTAGAGCCGCACCCACGTCCGCCTGGGTCACTCCCAGCTTGATGCGCCGTTGCTTGAAGCGCTCGGCGAAGGCCTCGAGCTCTCGCGGGTCCGACTCCACGTCGCTGAGGCACGCGGGCATGGCGGTGTGAGGCGCCACGGCGTGTGGGTGACTCATGCCCATGGCCTGGTGCAGGTGGCCCATGGCGCCCAGGTGATGCGGGTGGATCTGTGCCGGCATCACCGAGTGCTCGGGGGCGCCCAAACCGCTCACGCTCAGCGTGGGAGAGATGTGCTCTAGCAGGTCGCCCTCGAGGCCCTGGTGCACGGCGTGGTGTGGGTGTGAGGTGAGCGCGGCCGGGTGGGATATGGGCACGGTGGACGAAGTGGACGTGCAGGGCACGCTGCTCATGGTATGATAGGTGGCGTCGGGCTTGAACGGATGGTTCTTGCCGTGGGAGACGATATCCACCGCCGCCAGAGCTTCGGCGCGTGCCAGCAGGCTCTCATCAAAGCTTCCAAATATATTACCCTGCAGCTGCAAGCGAGAAGGCGCACAGCACGGTCAGTGGGGAATACTGTCAACTCAGGATTAAAACACATTTTCAAGCAACCGAGATGCCTCTCCTCAAAGCCCAGGTCATAAAAATTAATACGGAGACAGAGGCTTTGCTGGAACAGACGTGTGGATCAGAGAGACATGAATGAGAGAGAGAGCGCGCCGGGAGAGAGCGCGGGGGAGACAAGGAGAGGGGTTCAGACAGCGGCGATTGTTCTGGGCGACATGAAAAAAACATGAAGCTAGTGCCTGTCAAAAAATGTGCCTTAGAGCGGTAATTATGCTCCAGTACGTACCTGCGGGGCTGGGAGACAGACTCGGCGCATGGCCTCGGAACCGGAGTGCAGGCTGGAGAATTTGGGTTCTTGAAGCACCGGATGCATGCCGAAAGGCTGCTTGGCGTTCATGGCCATCATCTTCGCGCGCCTGGCAGGGAGGCAGCGAGGGACATGGATCAGGCTCGTCTCGCTCGCTCGCCGCGCTCCAAGTGAGCGCCGCTCAGCGCCCGCGCTCCCCTCGCCCTCTCGCTCGCTGCCTCCCCTCTCCCCCACCTGCTTCTTCACTCATCTTACAAGCAGCCTGCCAGGAAGGGCCCGGGCGCGCGCAGGCGTGCTCACGCGCCCGGGACTCGCAGGGGCGGCCCGGGAGGCGAGGCCAGGCAGCAGCTCTAGGCGCGCGTCTGTGCGCCCGCCACAGCCGCCCCCGCCACAGCATTTATACCCCGGTCGGGCCTGGCCTCTCCGGGCCTGCCCCGCCCCGCCTGGCTCCAGGCCGGCAGACCTTCCGGATTGTTTCTTCTTGGTGGACTAGTTTCCCCCAAAGTCTCAAACCTCTCCGTCCTGTCCCAACTCGCACTGCCCAGATCGAAGGGCAGCCACGGCCTGAGTGGGTCCAGGAAGCTGACCCTTCTATACACACACACACACACACACACACACACACACACTCCTTGTCGGCCTCGCTGCCGCCAAACTGCCCATTTCCAGGGCGCTCCTGGCCCCACGCCCGAGCCGTCCACCAGAGTCCGGCCCCGCGGCTCAGCGAAGAGGCGCCTCCATGCGCCCAGACGGGCTCCAGGGAGGGTGAGGGGCTGCCAGAATGAGCCCCAGGTGACCCCAATCGCCCGGCGGGGTGGAAATGGGGGAAATAAATGTCTGCCGGGTCCTGGAGACCAGCGGCTTCCTCCCAACGCTGGCAGTTCTGGCCTTCGCTAGAGAAAGACAACTTGGCCCCCTCTCCCTTTCCCCAACCCGTCAGTGGAAGGAAGCTTAATGAGTTCTGTTTAGAATAGTAACAGTTCAGAACTGCCCACCGGTCTTGTGAGTCAGTCAGTGCACTTCCACTCGGCTGCCAAACCTCACAAGCCCCATTCGCCAGAACAATAGCTACCATTTTTGAGCTCCTAATACGTGGTAGGCTATTTAGAGACTTAGTTCATGGTATCCGCACACCCTGCGGAGTAGATACTGTTATTCTGCTTTCCAGGTGAGGAAAACGAGGGGGTTAAGTGACTCCCCGAGACAACAGAGCTAGTTGGGAAGAGAGCCCTTGGCTCACTCGTTCCGTTATCCATTCCACGAATATTTACGGATGGCCGGCCTATTGTGTGCCGGGCGCCACATCTGACTTCCCAGCTCTTCATCATTTCGCACTTTTCCTTCCGAAGTTTTGGGACCCGAAGTGCCCCAGGGTTAGTATTGCTCCGCCCCCGCCTCGCTCTGATCCCCTCTCCTTCCCCCTGGTGTCCTCTCCTTTGCCCGCGCTAGTAAACATCGTGAATAATGGATAGGGAATCCTGGGACCGCGCCGCAGCGCCGCCCTCCGGGCTTCGGAGCCGAGACCTGCACGCCCAGCTGAGCCCACCTCACCTCGGACGCCGCCACCGCCGGGGAGCGACCTTCGAGTTTCAGAAGTCTCCCCAGCCGGAGGGCTGGGCCTTGCGCGCCCGCGTATGGGGGCCGGGTCTCTCAGAATGTGAACACGGCGGTTGGGTGTGGAGAGGTCACCTTTGGCCTAAGAGCAAATCCTGCCTAGATCTGGGCTCCCCACCCTCGGATCCTGCCAATCCCTCTTCTCCGCATTGCAGCCAGCCCCCTTGCATGGGTCCTGTGCGTCCTGTAACCGTTCTGTAACCTGTAACCGGGGAGGAGGACTGAGCCTAGGGCCCTGAGGCCAAGGGCTGCCCTCCCACTAAACCTCTCTTGAACCTTGGTTTCCTCGTCTGTAAAACGGCACCTGCACTCCTGTTTGCCTTCTTGGGTTCTGGTGAAGGTGTTTTCAAACTAGAATAGAAAGGAAAGCATTGAGCACCATATCTAGTGCTCGGCAAACCTCACAACCTAATGTTTGGGCGCAGCCTTGCCCTCAGATTCAACATGCATCTCTGCCTCTTGCTGACTTAGAGGCCATGAGCCGCCTCAAACATTGTTGGACTGAACTTTCATCATACATGAAATAGTTTCCCCTCCACTAACTGTTGCGAGCAGTGCACTGAGATAAGCTTTCAGCATGCTGCCTGGCACAGTGAAATCATGAAATAAATGTTTGTTGCTCTCTTCTTCCCTCAACACTTAAAGCTAAAGCATTTGGGAGCCGGGGTGGCTTAAATAATCTCCCTGCAGAATGACTGATCTAAAGGTGCAATCTGGTTCCCTGCTGTCCTTCCTTTGTTCAACACCTGCTTTGTGCCAGACTCCACACAGAGGACTGGGCCCCAGATGTGAATCAGACTCCATCCCTGCCCTCACGGAGTCACCAGTCTAAAATCGACTGCAGGAAATTGACTATAAACTGCACTGCAGTGGAGAAGATGTAGACTCACGCACAAGACCCAGAGCAAGGCTGGTGGAATTCTTGAAATACGGAATACACACCAGAACTGTGGGCCTTAGGACGGCTGGCTTTTAGACAGCATTCTAATATTGGGCTTTGTGTGACCCTGGCCAGGCCTCAGTTTACCCACAAGAAGAGGGCTGGACTAGATGGTAGGAACTTCCAGCTCCAGCCAAAGAGTACCATTCTGGTTAACTTAAATGAAACACATTTTAAATGAGTCAAGAGCTTCTTTCCTAGGACCTTAACTTCCCAGAAGCTGAATGCAGCATTATTTCATCACTTCACCAGCGTTTAGGACCACTCATTCTCATTTTCTGCCCAGTGCAGGAAGGCAAATGGAAAGCGGGGAAGGAAAAGAAGGGAGGCTGGATCCTCTAGGGAGAAGATTTTGGAACTTGCCTGACCCCATGGTGCCCTGAGACCCACAATCACCTAATCATACCCTAATTGTCTAAGAAGCTGAACCCCTAGAAACAGAAGGAAAGGCCCATCCACATCCATCCTTCTCTGCTTTGTCCCCTCGGGGGCTGGGAGACACTTGCCAGGGTCGGTCGAGGTCAGGCAAGGGTCAGAGCCAGAGCAAGAGTAACTGACCTCCTTAGGCCTCCGTGCTGGCCTTCAGTTCACCAGCCCCCGTCCTAGCATCCCCAGGCATTAGGACCACAAATCAAAAGCCACTCTTGCATCAGACAACCTGTGTTCTTTGGATTTTTCTCATCCTTCCCTTCAGTGAAGGTCCACTGACAGGTCTATGCAGCCAGCAGTAAGGTGACACCCATCCTTAGGGAGCAGTCTTTCTGAGAAGGCCCTGGAGAGAGAGGAGATGAGGTAAAGACCACAGAGAAAAGAATGAGAACTATGAACACTGTATACTTTATAGGATTTTCAAGCTTCAGTTCTGTCAGGATCAAGTCCAGTAAAGCAGATCAGTTGGGTATATAACAGGGAAGACTGGGACTGACGTAAAGTGGAGACCAAATGCCCCATCCTCACCCCTGTGGCATTAAATTACAATTAAAAAGCACATGCACATCCCTCCCCCCTCTCCATGCACACACCCCACATAAAGGCCACACGAAATCTGTCTGAGGGTCCAAGTAGGGACCACATGGGCATTTATGTGAGTGACACTAATGGGGGCACTTTCTTCATTCCACGGTCATTTCAGGATACCTACTGATGGCTGGATCTTGTGATACGTTCTGTAGGCATAGAGCACACTGCTTGGAGAGCTCAGACTCTAGTGGGGACATAAAATTGCCACATGTAACTCTAAATCAGAACACAAAGCACTCTGTCCCTCCGGAAGGACTAGCCCTGTAGGGAAGCTAGGGCAGAGGGGCAGGGGCATTTTCCTGTGGGCCAGTGGTTTTCAACTTTAGCATGAGCAGGAATCATGCAGGAATCTGCAGCCTCTTAAAACACAACATCCTATGATGACGACATGCAGAGATGCTACCCATGGGAGTGAAGTGCCTCTTTTGGGGGGGAGGGAGGGGCAGAGGAAGAAAGAGAGAAGGAAAATCCCAAGCAGGTTCTCTGTACTGTCAGTGCAGAGTCCCTTGGTGGGGGGGGGGGGGGGGGGGGCAGGAGACTGCAGGGGAGAGGGGAGAGCAGTGCGAGGTTTTGAACCCACAAAACATAATATCATGACCTGAGCCAAAATCAAGAGTCAGACACTTAGCTGACTGAGCCACCCAGGTGCCCCTGAGGTGCTTCTTAATAGACATTTATGATTTGCCAGCAGGTGACCTGGGACTCTCAACTTGAAAACCTTGATGTGAAAACTTGTTACTTGACATTATTTTTTTCAGACCCTAAAATAATTAAAGTTTAAGTTTCACTAAGACTCCAAGAGATAAATTTTTCTTCTTTGAGTCTTTTGTGTCCTCCTCTATTATGTCTTGGTAAGAACACAATGTTTCATTGCCTCAGCTCCTTGAAGGACCCTGGGACTTCTTTGAGGATGGGTCTTATTTGTCCCTGTGTCTCCACTGCCTATGTCTACAGGCCAGGTACCACATAGGAGCTTAATATAACAATGTGCATTGAATGAATGAATGCATGAATAATATCTCCCCTACGATTTTGGCAGTAGGATGATGGTAATAACAAGAAAAACCAGTTATGGACTGCCAGCCTCTGGGTTATGTGCTTTAGAAAAGAATTATAACTGAATCTCCACATCAAGACTTTGACATTATATTATTATCTCCATTTCCCAGATGAGAAAACTGAGGAACAGAGAGACTGATTTTTTTTTCCCCAAGCCACACATTGAAGCATGGTAGGGTGGGCATTAGAACCCAGGTTTTTCTAACTTCTGAACCTGCTTTTAATGAAGGTCTTGGGTTGGCACCAGAATCTCCACCCCACCCCACCCCCCAAGCCCAGAGGCTGAGACTGGGAGGAAGAGCAGGCTTTACTTCTCTCCCAGAAGGCGAGGTGGCCTCTATTCCAGAGGCTCAGAGGCTGGCCCCGCTCGAGGCTTGCTTCCAGCAGAGGCGGCTTCCAGAAGCCAGTGGCTACCAGTTCCCACCTCCATCCCTGGCCAAGCTCCACTTCGGAGAGAAGGGGAGGA